ACTTTCTTATCTTTGAAGGGATTTTGTAAATACTAGCCACAATTGTTCACAATAATGAGACGATGTGTCATGCGCAACAACCGGTCACCTACCTCCAAGGTCAAGGTCACACTTGGAGGTCAAAGATTAACATAGTCTATTACAGGGTATATTTTGTGTCCGGTCCATAACTTTTTCATTTATCAAAGGAATCTGAAATAACTTGGCACAAATGTTTGTTATAATTAGTCGATGTGTCATGCCCAACAACCAGACCCCTACCTCCAGGGTCAAGGTCGCACTTGTGCATTCAAGGTCAACATTGTCTATTTGATGGTATACGTTGTGTCCGGTCCATAACTTTCTTATCCTTGAAGGGATTTTGTAAATACTTGCCACAATTGTTCACTATAATGAGACGATGTGTCATGTGCAACAACCGGTCACCTACCTCCAAGGTCAAGGTCACACTTGGAGGTCAAAGATTAACAGAGTCTATTACAGGGTATATTTTGTGTCCAGTCCATAACTTTTTTTATAGATCAAAGGATTTTGTAAATACTTGCCACAAATAGTCACTATAATAAGACAATGTGTCGTGCGCAACATCTGCATCCCTACCTCCCAAGTTCAAGGTCACACTTAGAGGTCAAAAGATAACGTATTCTGTTATAGGGTATATTTTGTACTTCTTCAGGATTTTGAAATAACTAGGCACAAATAGTCACAATAATAAGACAATATGTCAGGTACAACACCTGCACCACTACCTCCAAGGTCAAGGTCACACTTAGAGGTCAAAGGTTAACAGAGTCTGTTATATGGTTTATTTTGTGTCCCGTCTTATAACTTCTTCATAGATCAAGGGATTTTGAAAATACTTACAAATAATCACAATAATAAGATGATATGTCAGGCGCAAAACATGGGTCCCTACCTCCAAGGTCACACTTAGAGGTCAAAGATTGACATAGTCTGTTATAGGGTATATTTTGTGTCCGATCTATAACTTCTACATAGTTCAAGGGATTTTGAAAATACTTGACACAAATAGTAATATCAATTAGATGATATGTCATGCACAACACCTGCACCCCTACCTCCAAGGTCAAAGTCACCATTTGAGGTCAAAGGTTAACATGATAGAATTTTACATTCCGTGTTTCATTTTACTAGTATTTCTTTAATAAATTCATTGTTGCATTTGTAGATCTAGCATTGATCATAATTTTGGAATGAAAGTCCTGACATCCATACCTCAATCTTTTGAAATAGCACAATTTTATGCTTCATATAAAACTTCCCCGAGGCGGGGGACGTTGGTAACTCTGTTACAAATTCTTGTTCAAATTAAAGCCCTGGGGATCATTGATTTTCAGTCACTATGTCATAAAGTAAAAAATTAAAAATCTTATTGTCTGAAGGTACTAATCTTATAATAACAGATAGATAAGTGATCTATGCATTATGGCAATCTGTATAGAAACAAAAAAAATGTGTTCCTACATTACTATTTAGTGTTGTATTTATGCGGTGGCATGGCATTTTTTACAAATGCAATCTTGTTGTAGTTATGCCCCTTTTTAGCTTCGAATTTTTGTCAAAAGTGGTTGCTTCAACAGATGAGCGTGAACATTGCACACTGTGCTCTTGTTTTTTACAGTTCTGTTTTGTCAGTTATAAAATATAGTGCTATATCTCGGCCAGGGGTGTTATTGGGGGCTATGGTGATTTGAAGGAGTGAGTATTTCTGTTTCTATATTTTGATATGATCATTGAAAAGATTAAGAGGTTAAAAGAAATGTCCACAAAGTAATTGTTGCGAAAAAAATGTTTATGCCTGTTAAGAATATTACACACTACATGTTTGCATTTATAATGAAATCTTACACTGTACATGATTTTAAGAAGGCAATTAATTAAACTGTCACGGTGTAATATTTGAAACCATTATTAAAATCTTACATGAATTGTGACTTGATGTAAACTTAAACATAAGTAGGAAAGTGTTATAAATATGATCCTGTGATAAGCTTTAAAATCTGATATCTTTCTGAAAAAAAAACGTAGATACAGATCCATTACAATTGTTTAATTACGCACATATACTGTAAGTGAACAAGTAAACATATTAGAAAATAGATAGAAGTGTTTTAGTAACATGATAATTACAAAGACACAGTATTCATATAATTTATACATGTGTATGTATCACAGGAGTCATTAACTAGTGGTCAACATATCTGCCTCACAACCCCGTACATTAATTGGGCTCACAGCTGGTTTTGCTAAGTTAATTAACAGGAAGCAATATTAAACAGATAAGGAAAACATTTTGGATACTACAGTAGAGTTATACAGAAAAGTACAGTAACATAATGTCAAAATATTGACCTCTAGATCACACTGGTTATTCACTTCTCTGTTATTTAACAGATACAATTGATTTTCCTTTTGAGGCATTTTTTCTTGGTTTAACGTACATGTATAACACATGCTGGATTTCATAACTGGACCTGTCCAGCTTCTAGATTTTGGAACTGTCCATTATCATTTTTAGAGGATATATATCAAGATGAAAATTTGAAGTTGTTCAACTAACAATAAAGTCAGAGTGTGGGGAAGTGCAGTATGGCTGATTTCTCTGTACTGGTGGCTTTGAAAAGTTAAAAGAATTTACAATTTGTTGTTGTTTAAGTACATGGTACACCAGGACATTGTATTCTTAATATATTCCCAGAATGACACTAAAATGTGTTTTCAATATGATTGTGTTCAATGTTTGAATTAAAGTGGGTTTTTTTTTATTCAAAATCAGGAAAGAAACAATCCAATGTTTCATAATGTATTGTAAATCCTTGTATTATGTCCTGAATTTATAATGAGATGTCCTAGCTAGAAATAAGTTGTAGTGAAGATGTTTAGTAATTTCTCTGTTTATAATGTTTCCATGATCAGTTAGCTTTAACGATTGCACACTTATCTGAATAAGTTATAGGGAGGCTGTTACATATAGATACTTAACGTTGGTTTATTGATGTCTGTACTTATTTCTCCGGGATATTCTCTAGTGGATACAGTAATCAGACTTTTGTTTGGTAGATATGTCCCCCAATGGTACACTAGAATTGTTTCCTTTCTCTGTTGTTTTATGTATTGAATGAAAATATATCAAGGGAGAGAATCAGTATTAATTTCCAGGGAGACAATCAGTCAAAAATATCAAGGTTGACAATTAGTAAAAATAAAAAACACAGGAGATAATCAGTAAAAAAATGATTCAATTAAAAAGGTTATGGGAGAGAATCTGTAAAAATATCAAGGGAGGTAATTAGTTATAAAAAAGACAGGAGATAATCAGAAAAAAATGATTCAATTAAAAACTTATGGTTGAGAATCTGTGAAAATATCAAGGGAGAGAATCAGTAAAAAAAATCAAGGGAGAGAATCGTTAAAAAGAAAAAATGTCTGCTTAGATTTATCAATGTGTTGTTGAAATTCTTCACTCTAATGATGACAGACTGTTCCAAACTCAATCCAGACATATTCACTCATTGAAGAATGACTGAGAAAACTCAGTATTTATTTTAAAGGATTGTTTCATGTCCCTGTCTATTGTTAATAGACATTTAAAGGTAGATTTCTGGTATGGAAAATTTTGTTATTAAATCTTTATATAGAAATGTTGAAAATAAAACTATCCTTTGAAAGCTGGTGGTAATTAAACTGTTTTGCTGGGAAAAAACCCCCAACTGTTTATTTGTTTTTCATGTTCAGATATTATAAGTTGGTTCATCCATGAACCATCCTAGAAGAATGAATAGGTACTGAGCCTATGTGTTGCATATGTTAATATAGGCAAGCAGGAATGGTTCTGTTAATTGAGGGGTACAATATACCTGTTTGATTTTAAATTTACCTTTATATTTCTTCCAAGGCTTAAACCTTCAGGTAAAGAATTAGAAGCTGTATGCTTTATCACTTTGGGTATATGTCTTAATCACTTGTAGTTGATAATGGTCAATTTTGTTGTCAAATGAATGAGGATGTTTAACATTTATTTCCTGTTAGAGTTAAACTTCCTGAAGTTGTTGAAAAACAATGTTTCGATATTAACTCTACTTTTAATTTGATTGAAATTTGGTTTTACAGTCAAACCTGTTTTCAAAGACCCATAATTCATTTAATAATAACACTTGTAGGCTTGTTTATTAAGTTATGAACTTTTGAAAAACTGTTTGTTCAATATGAGTCATACATGTATCAGTGATATAATAAGATATCAAACTTGAGATACAAATTTATAAATGATGCCAAATTATCAAGTTGTTTTATGGTGGTGCCTTTTGAAGTTTACCCTTCAGATCATGAATTTAGTCAGCCACTTTGAATTCACCAGAGCCCGGTAATGTGATAGATCCCTATTCTGACCTTTTATTTGAATTACAATAGAATTAAACCCAAACATTCACATGTGCTCTTTTGTTATTAAATATGTTGTGGTGAAATTATATCCACTATTTTAATAATTAGAATTAGATAAGTTAGAGATCAATGCATTGTTCCTGGGCAGGCTGTAAGGCAGTTTACTGGTACTGGTTGCTTTCACTTTCACAAGGAACTGATATATATGTACATGAATATTTATATCAAATCATATAGCTCTGTATATACAACTGATGTAAGGTTTTAAGTGGTGATATTTAAACTTTTTTCAAAATGTTTGTATAAAAGTAATGCCTTTACCTAGCCTTTAGTCTGCTAGTGACAACAGATTCTACACATGTGATCAGTGCAGACCAAGATCAACCAACACATCTGTGCCATCTAATCATGGTCTGCACAGTGTTTGTTGTTAAGTCAGTTCATATTTAGAAATTTTCCAATAAAAAGATATCACTTCAAGGTTTATAATAAACTTGTAGTTGTAGACAATATAATTATTATACATATATAGTTTCAGATTCTTACTGTTTTCTTATTAGGTTAATTATATGATTTAATTGTTTTGATGATTTCAGGCCAGAGTTTGGTAGATGCTGGGGAATCGTTTAAAAGATTAGCTGAAGTAAAATATTCATTAGAAGAAAATGTTAAACAGAACTTTCTAGAACCTTGGACACATCTTCAAACTAAAGATTTAAAAGAAGTCAATGTAAGTAACAGTAAAGAGTTTAGGGAACTTCACTAAACTCATGTCAATGTAGTGATATTAGAAATCAGTCTTGCTAGCTAGTATAAAGAAGTTTGTTTAAAATAATTATAATCACCCAGGATTAAGTTATTTAAAGTAAGCAAGTAAAGTCAAATCGAGTCAAGTCTGTATTTAATGAGGCTACACAATCTTCCATGTGGGCCTCAAAATATAATTTACAAATATTACATCATGGTTATACAGTGAAATTTTCAAAATCACAGTAAAATACTCTCATATGGACTATGATAGTTACATTCTATGCACAATTTCTGTACAATGTAGTAAGTATCAAAGTTAATAAGCTGTTATTGAAAAATAATTGGGGAAATGAAAATGTTTTCTTGTTTTATTTCAGCATCATAGGAAAAAGTTATCTGGTAGAAGATTAGACTTTGACTGTAAACGCAGGAAAAAGGAGAAAGGTATGTTGTTACTATGGTAACAGTGATTATATTGTCTTTCTGAATAATGTAGATGAACTGCTCTTTTTTTTGAAGTGTTGGTTGTAGAAAACTGTATTTTTTCCTAATAATTTATTCAATGACTAAGTTTTTTTATGTCTCTATTTTTTCTGTTTGACTGCCTTAAAGCAAAATCATTAATGATATGCAGAAAGATTTGAAGCAAAAGCCAACTAAACTTAACTTGAATCCTGAAATAAACAAAAGTTTTCTCTTTGGCCTGCCTGATAAGCTCACAGGAAAAAAGTTTCTTCATTGCTTTATGGGTCTCAGATTGGCCAACAAAGTTAACTTTACATATTCTATATATATTTTAATTAAAATTGAATGAAAGTACTTTGTTTGATATAAGGAATACACTTGCTACATCCCTATTTTCACCTAATCTTTGGTATTACTAAGTGTATTTAAATGTACTTTTAAAGCATACATGCTAAGAACGTAATTTCTTGGTTATAAAAAGCCCTAGAATAGGTTCCACTCAATCATTTACCACTGTAAAGTAAGACTTTGAAAATTAATTTCATTATCACTGAGACAAATAATTCTAGAGTGGTATTTTAGTACATATTATTAGTTAGTACATGTATATAACTGACATTATATCTCAAGATTAAGGGATAAGGCCAGTGCAACTGATTTTAAGATTTCTTATTAATTTGTCCAAAATATTCTAAGTATTCTTTCATGGTTCATATAATATATATTGTTAAAAGTCCTGATGGTCCAAGATTTTTTTCTGGACATAGTATTGAGATAATTCTTACCAATGCTGTGTCAAAATCACTCTTAAATACATTATTTTATTTAAAAAGACATCTTTTAATGTAGAATATAATGTATTGATGGAAAACCATCAGAATTGTAGTGAATTTATTCCAAGATGATATATCTTAAATTATCATGCGATGGCCTTAGTCTTTTTAGTGATAGAAATTGTTAAAAATCTGTTTTTAGAATATCATAGTGTTACCCAGTCTTAAATTCCTTTAATAGCACACATTTGAATTACTTATCTGCATATGCCACATTAACCATACCTCCACAAAACTTTTCCTGTATCCACAGAAAATTTGACATTTTGAAAATACACTGAGTAATAACAATACGAATTGTGATTGATATATGTTGTAAATGGAAGGGTTATTTCTACATTTATAACATTATACATGAGCTGTATGATTTCATAAAGACTTATATTAACCATGTCTAGGTGAGCACTAAAACAATAAAGGGAGTTTTATAACATTTGTTTAGAAAGAAATTTTAAATGATGACTACAAATTTAAAATAGTCCTATTATTATTATATATAAAGCCAGAATTCTCTAATAAAGATTGGTCACTTGTAATTCAACCACTTGATGTAGGTCATTAATAGATATACTAAAACCTGACCAACTTTCTTTCATAGGTTTCACATTCTTTATCTTTTAGTAGTAAGTGACAAAATAAATTTACATTTTGCTCTAATTCCTTTCAATCTTATTATTTTTGCATGAAGGATACATAACTTGGGTTGCCAAGGAAATTTCTGTGAATATGCATCAGAATTTACCTGTAATACATTGGTCAATCCTTAACATTTTCCCCTTAACAATTGTTGGTCAATCATCATTATAACAGTCAAGCTTTTAAATATTAAGCCAATACAGCTCAACTTTACTTTGAAAGAAAAAACAACAAAAAAAAACATATTGAAGACATTAAAAGCATCTTTTGCAACAGTCATCATAGGTTAACAATTATTGAAATATAACATTGAATTCCCAGGTTAAAGATGATTCTTTTCAAAAAATGTATTCTGAAATATCAATGATGCACAGAGTAAGAATTCTGTCTTTAGTCTTATTTAACATATTTGCTATGTTTAAATATAAAGGAACAAGGTCACCTGAAACAACATCAATAAGATATAAATTACATAAATATATTTAGCCAATTACAAGCATGAAATAGACATTAGGGAGATGATAGTGTTTTGGTTACACTGGCTAGCATATTACTAGACTGGCATTCCAGAGACCCAGATTCGATTCCAGATTTTGCCAGACCCATTTTTGCGAATGTTATGTGTATAATTTATTATGTCATATTGAAGTCATTTCCTTGTACTAGAAAAAAATGTCACGAAAGAAAATATATGTGCCGCGTCACGACAAAACCAACATGGTGCGTTTGCGACCAGCATGGATCCAGACCAGCCTGCGCATCCATGCAGTCTGATCAGGATCCACGCTGTTCGCTATCAGTTTCTCTACTTGTAATAGAGTTGGTAAGCGAACAGCATAGATCCTGATCAGACTGCGCGGATGCGCAGGCTGGTCTGGGTCCATGCTGGTCGCAAACCCACTGTGTTGGTTTTGTCATGACACGGCTCATATGTGGGTTTGATACAAATTATACTAATGTGACATTTCGTTTTATCTTCAGGAGGTAGGTGTTCGGTCTATCTGTTTGTTGATCAGTGTGTCATCTAACCAACATATCTACACTTTAAGTATAGTTTTATCCACTCTGCATGCTTTACAAACTGTTTGAGGGCTCACCAGTAAACTAAAAATATTTCATATCATATGATGAGCTCTTAACCTGCTTATTTAATGTATAATTGGATTTGCCCAACTTTGAAATCCCTTGAACTTTGAATGGACTGTTTCAAATTCAAAGCTGGACAGATCCATTATAGAAATATAGCAGGTAAAGGGTTCGATCATGATTTAGAAATAACATAATTGTAGGTTGTGTCTCCTAAACACTGGATAGCCCTCAAATTTGCAGTTTTCATTAATTGCTATAAGCTAAACTATGGTTAATTTTACAGTATTGTTTGTGTTGAAAAATGTTTGTTTCTTTACTATACTGTGCCCATTTTCTTTCAATAAAGTATTGATCAAATGACTATCTGAATTATGACTAGGAAAGTTAACTGTTACTGTATGTTTAAAAGAACAACATTCTATTAATCCTACCTATGGATTATTATTGGCCTACTGAAAAGATTGTTTTAATTTTAAGGTATAATAAAATCTGTCTCTTGAGTTATAAAATTCAAGGAACACCATAAACAGGAAAACCTGAAGTTATTTCTGTATTTTGAGATTTTCTTTATGGTATTTTATCAATGAAAGCAAAACAAAATGATATGAACAAGAAAGCAACATCAAAGCAAACATAACATACATGTTTTCTGTACACTAAAATAACCAGTGAATTCAATTATGCAAAATAAATACCTTATTTGCTGACATTATTTCACATATATATTTTTTTAGTTTGACAATTCAAATAGAAGGGAGAGCTTTTGTACTCACTCAGATGTGGGTGTCATACTTTGATTAAGATTTTGCTTGTAAGTTGGTATCTCTTAACACAATGTAGGCAATGGGTTCTACATTATCCAGGCTTTTGTTTTACTATTTTACTATCAAGCACTGAGAATAGTCAAGCATTATTAACTGTTCTACTGACAGCTCTAATTTTTAAACTACATGTATATTTAATTTACTACCACAGAAAGCATCACTACAATGTCTGTTAATATTTTAGCAATTGTGCCTGCTGTGCATTTTGAATTGATATAAATTCATATTGACCTCTTTGGTCTTCTTTAAAGTAGCCATTATATTAACAACCCCAGTATTGAGTTTGCAACATTTTTGATTTTGCCATGTTCAAGCATCAACCATTGCAATTTTGTCACATATTAGGCTCAACCAAACCATTGAGTTTACCACTGAAACAATTTTAGTTTTGTCATGTGCTAATTGGCTTATCAGTAAATTACTTTCCTCAAATTGTGAATGGATATATATAAAACCATCTCGACTTTACATGGCTTATTAGACCTGTTACCAAGTGTCTCTTACTATATCTTTCTATTTTTTCTTCATGCTTTCTACAGAAGGTAAAGTACATAACTGTATAACAGTCACAAATCATAACAACAGTGCTTTTATGTGTTCACTTTATTTCAATTTATTTTCAGTTCTCAGAGTCATGCCCCTTTTAGGCTAAGTGCATGCATTCCTAAGTTATCTTCCCCTTGTATAGGTTAATGGTAATTCAGTATTGTTAATTTAAGGCTCACTGGGTTATCTGAATTTTTGCTCCCCAACTTGCAAGATGGGCCATTTCTTGTCAACACAGATTTTAATTTTCAATATAAAAAATATGTCACAATAAAGAATTATAATTATATATGGACTACAAAACATGCCCACTTTATGTTTTTTAAATATGAAAACTGGGTGGTGTAATAAGCAAGACAATACTGATACATACAGCATATTATTATCCTCCAGGAATGAAACTTTTGAGTATAAAACATGCAATATACAGGACTTGCAATAATGTTCTGGGCCAAATGTTAATACTTACAATGGCAGATTGTTTATGCATTTTTATATGCCCGAAAGAATTTCGGGCATATTATGTTATACCCCCTGGCGTCCGTCCGTCCGTCTGTCTATCCGTCCGTCCGTCTGTCCGTCCGTCCGTTAGCAATTTGGTTTCCGGAGCATATCTTAAGTTCCATTTGGCCCACAACATTCAAACTTCATAGGATGATTGTCCATATTGGGTAGAAGACCCCTATTGATTTTGGGGTCACGAGGTCAAAGGTCAAGGTCACTATGACCTTAAAACTGAAAACAGTTTCCGGAGCATAACTTAAGTTCCATTTGGCCCACAGTGTTCAAACTTCATAGGATGATTGTCCATATTGGGTAGAAGACCCCTATTGATTTTGGGGTCACAAGGTCAAAGGTCAAGGTCACTATGACCTTAAAACTGAAAACAGTTTCCGGAGCATAACTTAAGGTCCATTTGGCCGACAGTGTTCAAACTTCATAGGATGATTGTCCATATTGGGTAGAAGATCCCTAATGATTTTGGGGTCACAAGGTCAAAGGTCAAGGTCACTATGACCTTAAAACTGAAAACAGTTTCCGGAGCATAACTTAAGTTCCATTTGGCCGACAGTGTTCAAACTTCATAGGATGATTGTCTACATTCAGTAGAAGACCCCTATGGATTTTGGGGTCACAAGGTCAAAGGTCAAAGTCACTATTACTTTAAAACTGAAAACAGTTTCCAGAGCATAACTTAAGGTCTATTTGTCCCACAATATTTAATCTTCAGAGGATGATTGTCCATATTGGGTAGAACACCCCTATTGATTTTGGGGTCACATTATCAAAGGTCAAGGTCACTATTACTTTAAAACTGAAAAAAGTTTCCAGAACATAACTTAATTTCTATTTGGCCCATTATTAGTGTTGAAACTTCATAGGATGATTGCCCATATTGGGAACAACACCCCTATTGATTTTGGGGTCACACGGTCAAAGTTCAAGGTAGCTATTACCTCAAAACTAAAAACAGTTTCCAGAGCATAACTGAAGTTCCATTTGGCCCACAATATTCAAACTTTATATAAGGATTGCTATTTGAAGGAGGTAATACTTTATTTAATTTATGTAATGTCTTACAAATGCTTCATCCTTAGTAAAGGAAAAAAAAACACTTTCGGGCATATAATGCTCCGCCTAGCGGTGCTCTTGTTATATATGAAAAACACATACAAGAAAATCAGAAAAAGTGCTTCACCATAGACTCTTCTCTTATATCTTCATTTGTAAGGAGATAACTTTTACATGTATTTTGTATAGGGTAAAACTGTGTTTTTGTGGAAGATTGTTGTTATAATTATATAGTTTACTGTTCATGCATGGTGTCAGGTGTTTAAGTAAACAGTAATTTGTTGCATGTATGTGTACCTGGTATTGTTATATCCATAGAAACATGACATTCATTATGACAACTAAAGTAAACTTATTGTACTGCACCTTTATTGGAATACATGTACCGGTACATGTCAGGAGAATCTGTTATGGAAATTTTCCATGATGTCAGATTAAGGATTGAATGTTGTTTTGTAGATTTTTTATCAATGACATTCAAAAAACTTGTAGTCATGTTATGATATTTAAAGATCAAAGCTAATTGACAAAGTAAACATGTTTTTCAGGTATTGTCCGTCACATACAATCCTTTCTTTTACCAACTGTGATTATGCGTTCTTAGGTATCTGGCCTTTAATACAAACATGTTTATTTTTATACTTGTTTGTTTACAATGGTGATAATTAAACATATATTTGGGAATGAAAAATCATCAAGGTATCCGTTTATATTTTAAAAAAGGGAAATTCTGTCAAGCTCTAATATTGTGATTTAACTATTTTCAAAAATAGTACAAAATTTTTGGTTGGTTAGTGAAACAGTTTTGAGATTGCCATAATCTTGACATTGAGTTTCTTCTGAAAGTAAGAGGCAATTGCTGTTGGTAAAAATGTGTTTGAATGTATGTGTCTTCCGACTGACACTGCTTATTAAAAAATCTTTGCAAGACTTTTTCTTCTTTTCTGTACTTTAACATCTTTTATGTATTTATTGTGTACAGTCATGGGTTTGTTATAGTATTATAGTAGAAATATTATAAGTAGTGATTTCAATAATACAATCTTGGTTTTAGTCACAATTTGAAAGCCATGATATAATGGATGGTAAATCGTGGCATGCTTTTTGTGGGTAAATATCTTTGGTGGAAGTATTGTACAGGTAAGGGGTGTTACTCTAAATGATCTAAATTAACTTACAAACTGCAACACGTAAATTATCATAGTACTTAACTACATATACATGTAGTATATTGCTGTACAAAATATAGACACAGACGTCAATTCCAGGAGATTGCCATTATTATTTTTTCTCTGTAATTTGTTTGACAATGTCAATTTAATTGTCTGTACAGTAAGGTATATTTGCCATTTTAAGGAATTGCCAAGGGAAACAACTCTGCAGAAAATTTCATGGACAGTGTTGAACACTGCTATAATAATTGTATGCATGTTTATGTCATATCCTATATGGACAGTGATAAAATATATGTTTTATTCAAATAACAAGATGTAATTTTCAGGTCATAGAAATTTTGTAATACAACCCTTAAAATAATAGGTTTGCATCAGTTTTAAGAAATATAAAATGTACAATGTAGAACCAGAGTTCATTCCTCCTACACAAAGGGAGAGAATAAGTTGTTAGGATTTATTTCCATGTAAAAAGAGATTGTATTAGAGTCAACTCCCTTTACCTGTATTGATTAAAAGCCCTTATCCTGCTGATGACAACAGATTCTACACAATTGCAACCAGTGCAGACCAAGATCAGTCGGCACATGCATGCTGTTGTCTGCACTGGTTGCTATTATATATTTTAGTGCTCGCCATTATTTTTAAGCCAATCACCGACGAAGATTGTTCAAATTTTCAGGTTTCAAATCTTAATAGAACAGATTTTATATAAACTGGACGTTTTATATTATAAAACGCAAGTGGGCGGAGCACTAAGCCGGTTAGAGTGCATATTGGATGTTCTTCGTAAATAAGAAAGCTACAGTCGCTTCGCAAGCTCCGCTCCTTTTTAGCTTTCTTATTTACAAAGAACACCCAATATGCACTCTAACCTATATTAAAATTTTCCATAATATAAAATGGTTTAGTCCATACTGAAAGATGGCATCAGGGTTGGCAAAATCAATTGTCCGTATTGCCCAGGTTGTCCCACAGTCTTTACTGGAAAATGTAAATTTTCAATAATAAACCTACAAATATCATAATGACAAGATAAGAAATGATTCCGATAAATTATGGATAAATTAAAGGACAAGACAAAATCAGATTTTGCCAGCCCTTAGAATGGACAAGTCCATTTAAGATATAAAGCAGGGTAGGGGTTCATTTGACCAATAGATTTACCCACAGTATATTATAAATAAATCGTATATTCAAACACATTGTTTGTTACTGTTTTGCTCACAGAGGGTGCTCGTGCAGGAGGTAATATAACTCAACAACATTATCATCTACGTCTATGTACAACTCATTAATGCATACACGTATACTTTCTTTATATGGGCATGATAAACTTCTACAGTATCAATCAAAACCTTTTTATTTCAGTATTAATTAGATTGACTGGATTTATTTTATCATCTTATTTATAATTTTTGCAAAATGGTAAAGGAAAAGAATGTCATTTTGATTACAAAGGAAGCTTGCTCACATTTTCTTTGTTTTTACAAAAGTGCTAATTTTATTATCAAAAATAGGAAAATTATTGATGAATATTTTGCAAGTTGTCTCAAATGGGGTCGTTTTGTTGTTATTGTTGTTGTTGTTTTTTTTGTAAAAAGTCAGTCCTTGTTTATCAACACAGAGAAAACTTATTATTGAAAGACCTCTAAGGTATTAGTCATTTCCCTTCATTTTTACATGTTCAAATTCTACAAGTTATTTTGAGATACTGGTACACAACAGCTACTGAAAATAATGTTTAATAATTGTCTTATAGTCTGATTTTATTGACCTGTCAATTATGAATACATTACAGGACTCATTTAAATATTCGATCCCACTTCGGTTTGGTTGTGTAGTTTACGAGAATTAATGTGGAGTATATTAGTCATGGATTGTAAGTCACGCCAGCTTAATGTGAACGTTTTCGTTAATTCACAATAGGACAGTCGGTAAAGAGAATGCCTGATAATTGAGAGGTCTGTGGTTCGATCCTTACTGTTGCCATTTTTTTAGTACTCTTTCTTTATATTTGCGGTATATTTTAATGGAACAGATTTGTAGTGTGTTTTACGGCATTGAAAAGACATTTATTGATAATTTTAAAAATGAATTCTTAAAAACATGTTATTTACAAAGAGTATATACATATCAAAATTAAGTAAAACATAATAAAAAACGAACAACATAAAATAATCATAATTATATAGATTCAATAATGTTGAAAGTATTAATAAGAAGGAAAAAAACATGGACCAACGCAACCTCGAACTTAAAACACGTGTGGCACTTAGATTATAAACCATGCTTTACCCTATTGCGCTATAACGCTGAGTACACTTAGTTTAGAGATACAAATTAAATTAAATTTCATCGTACAGCGTACATCTCACGGAACTTACCGAACATCTACCGAAGATTAATATACTGTGTGCATCGACCGTGTAATCAGTATGTAATTGACAGGTTAATAAAACCAAACAATACTAGCCAATTGTTTTATGGGTAAAAGCTAGAAAGTGGCCATATTACTTTAAATATGTCAGTATAGGCCTTTAATTTAAACCCATTTTATAAGCAAGGAGTACATTATTTGCCATGCTATAATTTGAGGGATTTGTGCTCATATTGTCAAAGGATTTGTTAAGACATTATCACTTTTCTTGTGTAAGTGCATAATACAAACTTAGCCAGGCCAAGATTCAATCCAGTTTTCTTAACATTAAAGCTGCTTTAATATGTTGACATGTGTTGCCTGTTCAAATGTGTTAAACAGTGCTAGTGCTCATCAAGGCCCAGTCAGGCAGATGTAATTGTGGGCTTACATTTAAATGTGAGGCAACGAATGTGCCAACAAAAACAACCAATTTGGCCAAGGTCAAGGGGGGTTATTGAAATCTATAGGTTGAAAAAACAACTGATTTTTACAGTATTTCAACCTATGATATGGATCATCAATCTGTTAATAATGAAAAAAATGGAAATTAATTGCTATTGACACAGGCATGCTTGTATCAAATTGAAGAATTTTTGAGACACCAAATAGAATGAACCTCATAAATTCACATTTAGAGGTTAATAATTAGTTCCTCCAACATCTTTCATGCCCATTTCAAAAATCATTTTATATATAAGTTTGTCATAAAAAAAAAACCTTGCCTTTATCAAACAGTTTAATGACTTTTTCATCTCAATAAACTTGATGTCATTAGGATAAAAAAAATTATTAAATGATGGGTAGCATTCAGCATTTTTTTTTTTTTTTTTTTTTTTTTGTTATAATTGATTATATTCATTGAAAATTACATAAATATTTTCACTGTAATGCAACTTTTACCATTATTGAAGTTTTTATAAATTATAGGGTTTTTGTGGCAGGGAAGAGTTTGTTAACTTTATAGGGTACATAATAATAACTTTTGATTTAAGTCAAATATTATTATATTATACAAAAAAAATCTTGTATTATATAGAGACTGGATGTAGACAATAATGTTGTTATTGTATGATCACCATACAAAATACAGAGATTATTTAGCACGCCTTATACTTACTTGCCATGTTTGTGTTTTGGTTTTGGGGCATACTTATATAATCAAGTTGAATAGATAATACTTTTGCTATTTATTTGGAATTTGTTAAAAATTCTCAGACAGCTTGAATGACAGAATTTTTGGTATTTTTATATCAAAAGTTAGGAAATACATGCACAATATAAGGAACAGCAATGTATTCTTTTTGTATCAACTCAGCTGTGAGTTCACTTAGTCTTTTAACCCTTAACCTGCTGGTTACTAAGCAACAGATTTCTACCCATGTCCCCCAGAGCAGTCTAAAATCAGCTAGCACATTTGTGCCATCTAGTCATTTTAAGTCTCGCACTGTTTGCTATTCAGTGAGTAGGTATTTTGAAATTTTCTCTCTGAAATTGATGAATTTGTTTGTCCAGATCATAAGATAAGCAAGTCTGTTTAAAATATTTAGAGGTGTAGAGTTAAAGCTCTTAATTACTCTATTCAAGTATAAACTTAAGTTACAGTAATTTTTTTAATTCTTTTTTTTTTGCACTTAGAAATGATTAATTACACCAAAAAGATACTTTTCTCTATGAACATTTTTTTTTCTATGAAGATTTTTTTCTATAGATTTTAATTTTCAACCTTAGTTGGCTTTTGCCACCAGTATAGAGGCAGACCAGTCTGAACATATGTGTTGCTCTATGCTGTTGGTCGATCAATTTTTGTATTTTGATATTTATAATAATGTTACAATGGAATGTTCCAATTCAGTTCAAAGCAGGACTGATTCATTTCACAAATTAACCAGGTTAAGGGTTAAGTGTTGAATGTTTTCTTACGCTTTTAATGTGATAGCTATAGATGTCAGCATAAATTAGCTGTCAATTGTTATAATATATCAATGTAATTGCCTTTATAGATAAAAGTCTTTATCATTTTTCTAAGTTTTATAAAGCTAAATGTATATGTATATATTATGTGAATTATAAATTTTGTCAAAGGAATTGCATGCAAATTGCTGTGTTTATAATAAATCACAGCAAGGGCTATATTTTGTTTGTTATACAGCATGATATAGCAGGGTTTTTTATTTCTCTTGAAAAATAACATATACCGTAATTCTAAAAGATTAATCTAGATATCACATGACAACGAGCATAATGGTAAGGGGCTGTTACTCTTCCATATAATGTGGATACTTAGTTATTGCCCCTTTTATGTCAAGATTTGATCCAAATGGATAAATATAACCAGAAGAAATAGCAAGATAATGTGTGTTGTAATAATTTAATAATTTGATTTTAAGAATTGTGTAGTGCTTCACTGCTTAACTGCTTAAAATAATAACATTTGATAAATTCAATGTATAAAAAGGGGATATGGTTGTGTAACTGTCAACCTCTGGATTACAGCTGAGAAACAAGAATTTAATCAAGGATAGTTTTAATATATACATCAATGTTTATTGGAAAATAGCTCTTTATCTTTTATTTAAAAAACAAAACAAATGAAAATTATGAGTGAAATTGAAAAAATGAAACCAAATTGAAAAAATGAAGCCAAAATAATGTTCTTTGTTTTGCATGAATGCATGAAACTTGTTGGTAGTTTATAAAAGATGTTATGAAAATGCACTCTATAGATTAAAATATGATTTTTGATGTAAATACATATTATAGTAATGTATTTTCTGCTTCAACCATAACATTTCATTATTCTTAAAGGTAAAACTAGAATTTAGACAGTTTAAAGTTCTACAGTGTCAAGATTAATGTTCAAAATATATATTATGTTTTAGTTTTATATCCAGTTATGCATTTTGCTTTTGACTGTCAATTGCTAATTGAAAAAAAATGCATTTTATAACCTAAATGATACACATGTCAACACAAATTGCCAGTTCTTCACATTGTCTTCAAGAAATTTCACTCTCATATAAAATTATGTATATAATAAATATGAATTCTGATATCATTTAAAAAAACATGTGATATTAATTTGTATCTGACATTGTATAATATGAGCCGCGTCACAACAAAACCAACATAGTGAGTTTGCAACCAGCATGGATCCAGACCAGCCTGCGCATCCGCGCATTCTGATCAGGATCCATGCTGTTTGCTATCAGTTTCACTACTTGTTATAGGGTTTTTAAGCGAACAGTATGGATCCAAATCAGACTGCGCGGATGTGCAGGCTGGTCTGGATCCATGCTGATCGCAAACCCATTATGTTGGTTTTGTCATGACGCGGCTCATATGACATTATGATGTTGTGTATGTAAGATATCAATTCTGATTTTCATTAATCATATCATAATTATGCTATCAATTTTATGATATATTGCGTATGTATGATATCAATTCTGATATTGTACATATGATATAAATATTTTGATATTCTCTATATATGATATCAATTCAAATAATAAATGAAAACATAATAATTATTATGATGTCAATGCTTATCACATATTGCAAAAATGATATTGTCTAAATTTGAAGCATTGATATTTTGTTTGTATGGCATGGATAGAAAACAATGGAAACAAAGTTATAAATAAATAGAAAAGAACAACCAAAAAAAAACTACAAAATGTTTGCATATTTTATTTCTTGTTCATGATTGGTTAGTTAAACTTATTGAGATATTATGTTATTGATGAAAAATGCTGACACTGAGAAATATAATCTTGTTTTTTCTTTAACCCAGGTTCGACAATCACCGATGAAGATTTACGACTGGCTGAAGAAAAGTTTGAGGAATCGAAACAGCTTGCCGAGACTGCAATGTATAATCTGCTTGAAAATGATGTATGGCTTTCTATTATATGCTTGTCAATAGGTTCACTACAATATAACATATTGTATGCAGATCAGACAGGATTTTCTAGTGTTTGAACTGGTCCAAGAAAATATCTTTTATATGATTATGCTTTAGAATGATACTCCACTGTCATCATTGAAGTTTGATTTTTTCGTATGCTACTGTTAGAAAATATTTCTTAATGAAAATATTTGTATGTTTTTTTTTGCTTTTCAAACTATAAACTGTGATGTGAAAAGAAAATATATATTACATGTATGTAATAACACTGGCTGCTGTAACAGAAAAGAATATTACCCTGCTCTAGTGTAACTGTTTTCTGTAAAACAGTTACACTTGAGTCAGCTATTCTGGTCTGTCACTACTGCTAGTTTAATAATCTAACTATATTACATTTGTATATTAATATATTCCATAATATTTAACCCCAATTCATATAAGCTCCAGTCTAAAAGGCTTTTTAGGGTTTACGTCACGAGTGCGCAAAAAGCTTGTAGGCACCACTGTAAGATGTGTAGACCCTACAGTTTTACAATAACACGATATTCTTTCAAAAGATAAATATATACCCTATCATAGCCATCAGTATTTCTGTAAATGTATAGTTTGTCTGACCTGAAAAACTTATATGGACCTGAGACTATTGTTCTCTGAAAAACTCTACATAGACCTCAACATAAGTCTGTAATTGTATAAAAATGATATTCATATATTTTCACTATTGCAGAACTTAATTTTAACATAGAAGACTAGCATATGAATTAAATCATAAGAGCCGTGTCATGACAAAACCAACATAATGGGTTTGCGACCAGCATGGATCCAGACCAGCCTGCGCATCCACACAGTCTGATCAGGATCCATGCTGTTCGCTATCAGTTTCTCTTTTTGTAATAGAGTTTGTAAGCAAACAGCATGGATCCTGATCAGACTGCGCGGATGCGCATGCTGGTCGCAAACCCATTATGTTGGTTTTGTCATTACGCGGCTCATAAATTAATGGAAGTTTCAGCAGAAATAAGTAACTTGCAATCACTAGTTAAAATCTACATAATTACTGTATTCACTAAGTATTCACATAACTAAATATTATGCTTTTCTTGTTACAATATTACACATACTGTGTAGAATTATATTCAAATATTAACATTATGATATCTTAAAATTTGTTTAAGAAAGCTCATGATGTTGCATGGCAAAAGTGAATAAGAATTACATAAATGATAAAACCATAAAAAAGCATGAAATAAATAGAAAGTTTGTTTGTACTGCATGAGGATCAAATTACATCTCATTAACTATATGTATCATATTTATCTACTTAAATCTAAGTTAATGATAAAAAGGCATGTAAATATACACACACAGTACGAGTGCAACAGATTAAAAAAACTTATGTTGTATAAAATTATTTAAAGTATGTATAAGTTACAACCCCCTGTGTTTTATGGATGATTATGTTTGTGTTATACAGGTAGAGCAAATAGCACAATTACAGTCATTTATTGAGGCCCAGACTGAGTACCATCGTCAGGCTCTTGACATCTTACAGGACCTCGGTGAAACCATTGAATCAAGGTAATAATAACTGCTTTATTATTGTCATCATGTTACACTAGTAGAGCTATTGAACATATATGAGCCGCGTCACGACAAAACCAACATAGTGGGTTTGCGACCAGCATGGATCCAGACCAGCCTGCGCATCCGCGCAGTCTGATCAGGATCCATGCTGTTCACTGTCAGTTTCTCTACTTGTTATAGAGTTTGTAAGCGAACAGCATGGATCCTGATCAGACTGTGCGGATGCGCAGGCTGGTCTGGATCCATGCTGGTCGCAAACCCATTATGTTGGTTTTGTCATGACGCGGCTCATATATGTTTTAGTAGGGAAACAAGAAATAGACCATTTTCTGCTTTGTGATGATAAAATTGTGCACTTGGTATCTTACCTTAAAGGAACTCCACTGAGGTTCAAGAACGTAAAAAAAAGAGAAAAATTTGAATTATAAAGCATAGATCAGCAGGGCACTTAAAACAGAAAGATATGTAAAAGATAATTAAGATATACACAGAAATTAACTGAAAATAGTATTTCTGTGCTATTAGTCCAGTTTTGGGTGATTTTTCATAGTTACAATAACTATACTGGAAAAACAGAGTGAGCAAATGATCTGAAACTCTGCACACAAGTTATTTATATGGATCTTGACCGACACCAAATAAAACGTTTATTTGGAAAGAATTATTTCCAGTCCCGTCATGTCAAAAAAACCTCAGTGGAGTCCCTTTAATGTTATATTAAATGTTCTTTCACTCTCTTGTAGACGCAATGAGGCTGCTAATCGACCAAAATCTGACCATATTCCCAAACGTGTGGGTTCATTCAAGAGAAGCCCCTCCCCTTATGACGACAGTGACAGTGGTAGTTACAACTTCAATAGTGCACCGGCTTATGCTACCAGTAAGTTTATTATCTCCCCTTATTTCAATATTTTTACCTTCCTTTATTTTGAAGTGTTTGTTTCTTCTGTGATACCTTTATAACTTACCATGATTTGTTGAATTTTAACTTACTAATAAACATACTCTGCTTATGGGCTGAAGGATTGACTTTTGAAAGCTTATATTTCTTTGTACCTGGTTAACAAAATTACTAATATTTATTGTTATCTTTTTTGATGGGGTTTAACATTAGCTTTATTTTGTTTTTATCTTAAGGAGTACATTATATATCTTGCATTTTGATTGTGCCTTTTAAATGTATGAATATATAGATTTCTATGGAACTTACTTGAGGTTTAATTTGATAATAGTCTATTCCAGTAAACATACTAAGTCTTGTATAAATATTTTACCGCCATAGGCCTTTGTTATGTTCTGTGCTCCCAACAAACAAACTTGCACTTTCAGTTTAAGGTATAAAGTTTCATTAAAACAATGAATAAGGAATTTTGCTGCAAAGTGATTAAGGTCATTGCCTTAACTGTAATGGGTTAGAATCAAAACAGAATACAAAGTGTATTGATACTGCTACAGACTGTAGTATGTAGATGATCTGTGATGGCACTCTGTTAAGGGCAGTTGCATGAAAAATTGTTATTTCAGTACTTGGCTAAGTTCTTTTAAGCTAGCTTTTTAAAAGAAGCATGCTGGTGTGTTAAATGAAGCAAGTAAAGCTCCATCTTACTTGAATGTGTAACTTAGACAGTGGGAGGGGGGGGGGGACAAAAGAAATGAATTAAGAATAATTAAAATCAATCACCATCAACAAAAATCTTTAGAACTGTTTGTTTCCTTTTTATTCACCTAACAGTTGATGAAACAAGTATGTATTTATGTATAACAGCATGGTTAATCTAGAGTCAAATATTATAATTTATTATTATGTAGTTATTGAATGTTCTGCTATGAGTAAAATAACACACACATACACATTGTATAAAATGCATGGCTGCATATTATATTCTGTACATTAAGTTTAAGATCATGCTTATTTTAGATTAAACTTTGTGTTGGAGATTATGTCAATCTAAGTTTAATTAAGTTTTAGCCTGAATTTAAATGTTTGCTACATATAGTTTAAGGTTATGTTAACATATCCTAGGCTTTTGCGTTTAGATTTAGGTAAAGTCTGTTTATTTTAGTTTGCATTTAGCTTTAAATAAATCTGTCTTTGTTTTTGTATGTTGTGTTTAAGGCTATCTGTATCTTAGAATGAATGTTCCAGAAACTGTTTGAATTTAGTATTTAGATTGAGCTTTGTGTCTTGTTAGTTCACTGAGTCACATAGTGCCCAAGATTTAAATATCAAGATTGGTCATTTATCCTGAGTGTCTTGATTCTGGTGTCCAACCTATGATTTACGGTGTCCTTAGTCAAGTTTGTTAGAACTCTAGAGGTCAAAGTTTGATAAGGTCTAATACATGTATAGGTTATCTTGGGTAAGCTAATAGGGAATCTTTTGTTCACCGTCTTAAGGTTATGATTGTGATCAAGTGTTGTTGAAACTTGGTCAATGAATTTGTTTTATTAAAATAAAGAATTTGTTGAAGTAAGTTAAAGGAGGTCAAATATCCTAAATATGTAAAATTTGATATTCTTACGTAGATCAAGTTTAGCACATGAAAAATCTGTTTTGGATAACAAAGAAAAATACTTAGTACTAAATTTAATAGTGAATTTTTGTGTAATTCTTAGCACGATTTGAGTGAAAAGTGTTTGCAACGCTTTTCATTTTTGGGTCATTTTGTACAACAAAAATGATTATTCTGGAAAAACAGGACCAACAAATGATCTTAAAATTTGCTCACAAGTTTTTGGTCCAAACCTACATCAAATGTTATACAAATCTCTGGAAAATATTTCCAAACCCATTATGTCATAAAAAACCTCTGTGGATTCTCTTTTAAAACTTTGGTAAGGGATACAATGTTATATAGTGAGTTTGAGGTTATATGTCTGTTCACCTTTGTAATAAGCTTGAGATTATGTCCGTAAAACATTGAATGTAATGTTTTAATGTAAATTATAATAAGCAATGTATTATATGTACATATTGCTTTTGTTAAAGGAGAGGACTACTATGAGCTATTGTAGCTCTCGGTTCAATTCCTTTTTTGCTTAAATTGTAAATTATTAACATGTATATATTACCTTGAAAAAAAATATGCTTAAATCAAAAACATTGAATGTATTAAGTGAGAGGTTAAATGCATATATCAAAGTGCATGTTGGTCATTTATTGATTTACTCATTCTTTCAGTATAGCATTGATTACTGGTATATGATATATACTTTAGAGCACATATGCTTGTGATAACAGTATCAAAATTAATATGTTCAGTTGATTTATTTCCTGGTATTAGCATTATCATGTGCATGTATGTAAACTTTCTATTGTGTCAGGGTAAAGTATTTTTAGACCTGATATGCATGCATGTATCTCTATTATTGTGTCAAGGAGGTGTAAGGTTAGTGTAAGTCTACAGTTTAGTGCCCCTGTAATGTTGTATACTTTCTATGGTGTAAAGGCAGTGTATGTCTAAAGTGCAGGTATGTATACTTTCTGTAGTGTAAGGATAGTGTTAGTTTGTAGTGCCCCTATGTTGTATACTTTCTATAGTGAAATGGCAGTGTAAGTCTGTAGTGCTCTTATGATGTATACTTTCTATAGTGTAAGAATAGTGTAAGTCTACAGTGATACTTCCTAAAGTGTAAGTGTAGTATAATACTATTTTGCCATATTACCAATAACACGGTTATTAAGACTTAAATTACTTTTCTTTGAATATTTTATGCATTATGTTTTTTTCAGTAGATATCTTTTAAACCTTTTTATATGGCTGAAGTTTTTCATTGCACATCCACTTGCTATTGTTATGAAATAACTATTGTTATGAAATAATGTTTACTTGACTGTAACAACAGTGATAATTTAACCTTTATAAATCTTTTCTACAATATATAAAATTGTTGCCTGTTTGAGCACGTGACTTTAAAGGACATTATATGATAATTGAACTCCAAGTTTGTATTAATTACATGTATCACATGACAAGGTTTTCAAAGTTTTCAGTGTTTTATAATAGTTACATAAATTAGTTACATAAATATGCTACATGTGATTCATTTCAATGGTTCAATGTCATACTTAATATCATTTCTGAAACTCGTTTTGTTTTTGTTTTTTGTTGTTGTTTTTTTTTTGTTTTTTGTTTTTTTTTGTTTTTCAGAATTTTAAAGGGAATGAGTCAGTCTCCTTATTAAAGTCTTGACTATACAAACTGAAAAGAAACTTGTTTCCAAGGTTGTCTTCTCATCAAAATCATTCACTTACAGAAAACAGTTTCAGTCTTTTCAGCCAATAAATGTGTCTAACACAGAACACTAATTTAGCATACATTTTGAAAGGGCCAGTATTGATAATGACAAACAATTCACATATGATATAATTACTTGTAATATTATTTATATTTTGTAGATTCCCGACCAGCAAAGAAGGACCCATGTGCAGAAGCTTTGTATGATTTTGAACCTGAAAATGAAGGAGAACTTGGCTTCCAAGAAGGCGACATTATAACTCTAATTACACAAATTGATGATAATTGGTTTGAAGGCAAAGTGAATGGAGTCACTGGATATTTTCCAATAAACTATGTCAAAGTTGTTGTTCCTTTACCATAATCATACATTTGATAATTGTTTAGATTTTCAATTTCGGACTATGAGTTCTTTATACTGCCAATTTATTGTGGAATTTTGCCCTTCATGAAATGTTATGATCCCCAACTCCTTACCCCCCAACTCCCGCCCCTACATCCCCCAATATAGATATGATTTCTTTGTCCATACAAGATTTATGTTGGCATAGATTCTTTATATATTTTCTGTAATTTGTTCATGTGTAAGGTGTAAAGTACTTAATAATGTTATATAATTACCTTATTGTAAATTGTTGTTGTTGTTGTTGTTGTAGTAATACTCCATGTATCGTGATATAATATGTTGCACTTTTTGTACCCACATTTCTCACCTGTTAGAAAACCCTATTTTGGCTAGCATTATATCATGCAGTCCAAAATTCCACAGTATGTTTTGGCTTGTAGATAAATATAGAAGAAAAGACATGACTATTATTAAGGTAGTTTATATACATGTATATAAAATGTAGTTGAACCATCATTTTTTTCAAATGGTATATTCCATGGTATAATTTTGTTTAAATGTAACCAGTAACATATGTTAGACTCTATTAAACATGACAAGATGTATGCTTCTCTATTTGAATTTATAAACATTCCACTTAGGGGGAGATAATCCTGTCAGATTTTTATTCTTTAATAAGCTCAAAAAGTTCTACTGAAAGCATTTAGTATTATTATAAAATACTTTTCTTTACCATTTGTCATTTAACTGATTAATATCTAAAGTACTATTAAAGTGTCATTAAAATTGTTCAACAATCTTATCAGTCTTGTATTAGCATATGACAGCTTGTGCAGGTACAAGAAAGCTAAAACTAAGACATTCTCTAAGTTTGTGATCATTTAATCTCATTACTTAAATTAATAATGTAAAATTTCCATCCGGACATTTTGTTTTTATATTTGTATTTATGCATGTATGTGCATTGATATAATTAGGAACGTATGTCCTCCATATCATACCCCCTTTTCAATGGTCATGATTTAACATGTTGATAGATAGTAAATTTTTCATTTCATATCTTGTCATTTCCCATTGTATCATTTTGATTAAACTCCCTATTTGAATGATTGTGGTTTTCACAATAAGTGTCAATGAATCTCAATATTGACAGGGTTTTTGAAAAACTGCTGTCTTTATGCAACAAGCTGGCTCAATTTGAGACAAAGTTAGGTGACAGATGACAGGAGATACAGTTAGGTAACTTAGCTTTAAAATCATGGTAGATAAAGTTATGTGAAAGATGACAGACGATACAGTTAGGTTTGAAATTCTGGAAGATAACGTTTGGAGACAGATGACAGACGATACAGTTAGGTTTAAAATTATGTTAGATAAAGTTAGGTGACAGGTGAAAAAGTTAGAATTAGGTAAAAAATAGTGGAAGATAAAGTTTGGTGACAGATGACAGAAAATACAGTTAGGAAGATAAAGTTTGGTGACAGATGACAGAAAATACATTTAGGAAGATAAAGTTTGATGACAGATGACAGAAAATACAGTTAGGTTTAAATCTACGTAAGATTTAGTTTGGTGACAGATGACAGAAAATACAGTTAGGTTTGAATTTACGTAAGATAAAGTTTGGTGACAGATGACAGAAAATACAGTTAGGTTTAAATATACGTATGATAAAGTTTGGTGACAGATGACAGAAAATACAGTTAGGAAGATTTAGTTTGGTGACAGATGACAGAAAATACATTTAGGAAGATAAAGTTTGATGACAGATGACAGAAAATACAGTTAGGTTTAAATCTACGTAAGATTTAGTTTGGTGACAGATGACAGAAAATACAGTTAGGTTTAAATCTACGTAAGATTTAGTTTGGTGACAGATGACAGAAAATACAGTTAGGTTTAAATCTACGTATGATAAAGTTTGGTGACAGATTACAGAAAATACAGTTAGGAAGATAATGTTTGGTGACAGATGATAAGAGTATATTATTCTTATTTCTTTGGTTCCAACCATAATAATTGTGTTGTATAGAAGAATTGATTTTATTTTCACATTCTAGAAACAAATAATGTCACTTTTAGATAAAAATCAATGAAGGATTTCTTATCTTAACATTTCATATACTGACTTTATGCAATGAGCTTGTCATGCATGGAATTGATGCAAAGCTGAATATTTAGTGTTTTGAGATAATAAATATGTGTTTGCTGACATTGGCTGTGCCCATTGTGGTATAGAATTTATTTGAGAAAATATTTGCCTCAATGATTCAGAAATTATACTCCGACAGTGCAGTCTATAACACCAGCATAGAGCAATTTGTCTAGACATCAGAATAAAAAGTCACTCTATAAGCTCATCTGCTAAATGTATTAATTAATTCAATATGTAATTAAAAAAGCTAATTGACATGTCTAAAGCGAAAAACTAAATGATTTTTTTAAAGTGACAAGATCAAGGTGGAGTTTAAGATAAAATAGTACAGAAGTAACAATAGTGATGCGGTCTTGTTGTCAGTGTTGCAATATGTAAATAAAAAGTAGTTCTTCTGTCTTCCTAGGATGATACTTGTGAAATTAGTTCATATCTATGGGCATGAACCTTGTTTTGTTTGTCAACTACCTATTGTTAATTATATTGTATTTTGTATAATATTTGTTGGAGGCTTTTCAATTTAATATCTGTGAATCATTTGATTTCTGATTGCTAATTTAACTAGGACTAGATAATCATTTTCCTGTATATTTACAAATATATATTACAATTACAAAATGTAATAAAACACCATGGCAAAAAATTCTTAAAATGCTACCGAAGGAGGTGGGGAGTATGGGTGGTTGTGGGCATGTATTTGAAAAAAAAATGTGCAGGGTTTGTAATTTTATCATTTTAGATGCATATTTGAGTTTTGATACATGCAATATCAAAATTATTCATGTTAAAATTGTTCTGATATACTGGGTAAATAGATATTTGGTCAGGGTGAGATGTTCTGGTATTAATACACACCAGTAATGATTATTTCTTATGGTATGAACAATTTTCCTAAGAGCCCCTTTAGCTTCCAATACTTGTATGCCAGAGATAGGTACTTTGCCTTTCTTATTTTTGAAGATTTTCTAAGTTACATACCTAATTGTTTGTCATTTCTTATGTTTATTTTTTATGTAAAATTTTGTTACTGTGTATATTTTGAAAGATAAGATTGGGAGCTTTATGATAATGCATGTATACATACTAGTGTGCTTTGTTTTTGTATATATGTTTATTTTTCTTCTTCTTAGTTTCTGAATGCTTGCGAAGTGTGTTTTGATGTAATCAGATTATTTGTTTTCAAATGGAATTGACCATATTTTGTGACAGTCAATATGATACCATTGGTAGAAATGCAAACTTTTTTTTTAATCATATATAAATGGAGGGGAACAAATGTTTTTGTCTAAAATGAAGCATTTTATTCCAGTAATGGAATTTTTATCAAGATATTCAAACGATTTTTACAAAGACTCACCCTCATGGTCAAGTGGTAAAGATCCCTTACTTAATTCACTTACTCATGGCTGTCATATTAAATATTTCTTCTAGGGTGACAATGCTTCTCAGATAAAATATGAAACAGATCTATTCTTGTGCTAGAATTAACTTACAAGTGTGCATGTGGGGTATTGTACTCCAGTAGGAAAAAACGAATAGTTACCTTTTGTTTATTTCTACATTACTTTCAGACACCCAAATCTTACATCATTTATGTCACATGTTTCATAAGTGCTGGCCATTTTTGATTCATGCAAACTACACCATATCTTTCATGTATCTATGCATTGTGTTATATTATGTCCTTATTCAAGTTTGACTAGAAATTTGATAACAGTAATGAACTCTCTCCACATTTTCTTAGGGTTTCTTAATATTGATTAAAATTGACAAAAAGTTCACTGATTATGACTTTGGTCAACAGAAAGAAATATTTGATATGAATTTTTATAAATTTATACTGTTTTTTTTGTGCAGGTTTGAAACATCATTCCAAATTCTTGTTTAACCACCTCCCCCACCCACTCCAGTCCCCAACCAAACTTTCCCTTTCCAATAAAAAAAAAAAATAAAAAAGAATAATGATGATATGTAATTAAAAACTTATAAATGTTAGAATTCTTTGAAAAGATCTGCTTAATCGTTTTATTTTTGATGACGATTACAATTTTATTGTTATTTGTTTTGCTGAATTACTTTTTTTTGTTGTGTTGAACCCTTTAAGTAACCATTTCATAGCTCTTTAATTGTTGCTAAAATAAGATCACTTGCTCCAAAAGAAATTTAAGTCACTGATTGTTAAGGAGGATGTATCATTTGTAATCTATATTTAAAGATATTCTATGTTTGGAAATATTGATAACTTCCTCACAGTCTCTTTCTTAAATATAAAATAATAAATCTTGTTTTGACTTCAGACATAGCAGATATTTTATGTTTAAAACTCTACACACTAGAGTTGGTCACAATATGAATAAAAAGTGTCATTAAAGAAAATGGCAGTGTTTTCTGTTGTTTTCTTTAAGAAAGGACCAACTTCGAAATAGGAAAATGCAGCTTCCCATACATAGTGTGTACATTCTTTTATTCAAACTAGACATATTCAGTAAGAAATTCATAGTTACATTAATTTTCTGCAATGAAATATTTTTCTCAAGGTTTTAGGAATAGAATTTATTTAAAAAAAGCCCCAACTGTAACAAATGAAGACACTCATTCTTTATAAAGAGATTGTTGATGAAAACTTTTCCCTGTCTAATAACAGTTCTATGGGGGAATTTGATACAAAATGGTAAAAATCAGTCTACCAACAGTTTTTTTAGAGTGTGGTTTGACTGCAAATATGTGCTGGTCCACCTGACTTCATTCTGTTGCCATTGGCAACATATAATCACTGCTTTAATTAAATAGATTTAATCAGGAGAAACATAATTATGCATAAATTGTTTTGAAATTGAATCAAATGTACATGTTGTTCTTTTTGTACATTCTCATGCATTTTGATGTAAAGATTATTTTGTGTAGAAATTATTGTTGTTGTTGTTGTCCCATTTTGAGTTTTTTCTTGGTAATTCTTCTTTAAGGCCACTGCCAAAATATTCAACAAATTTGTGATTTCTTTTGTTGTTTTATAATTGGCAGAAATTATTGTTACATATTGCAAATGATAAATAAACCAAAGTTGATAGAAACTCCAAAGTTGTAGATACGATTTGTGGACTGAAACATTAACATTCTGTAAATATGCTCATACAAATTGAATACTATCTATTATTTGCTATATATACAATCTTTTTTTGCTTGGGAAAAACTGGAATTCATATATGTATTTATATATATTTGTGTAATATATATATTCACACTAAATATATTAGTAATTAGAATTTTTTCCAATTATTCTTTAAAATGTATTAATTTAAAGATACTGTAAATCATGATGTCTATGTTGTACCTTGTGACACAGAATAGGTCTTCTCCACAGTTACATTGTAATTAATCTTATCTTTTCCTCTTATATTGGTAAATCAAATAATTTACCCATTTATAACTGACCCATTAAATTAGTCACCTATAAGACACAAAGTCTTCAAGATCTATAGACAGTGTCTTGATTTTAGCTGTAAAAATGTAATAAATAATGGCTTGGAACAGTTGGTTTAAACTTCGGGTGAATATTTGAGCCGCGTCACGACAAAACCAACGTAATGGCTTTGCGACCAGCATGGATTCAGACCAGCCTGCGCACCTGATCAGGATCTATGCTGTTCGCTATCAGTTTCTCTACTTGTAATAGGGTTTGTAAGCGAACAGCATGGATCCTGATCAGACTGCGCGGATGTGCAGGCTGGTCTTAATCCATGCTGGTCACGAACCCATTATGTTGGTTTTGTCGTGACGCGGCTCATTTATCTGCATTGAATAGTCATTGAAAGCTGTACTGACTTACACATAAACTGTTTTTACTTGATTACTTTTGTCAAATTTCTCATTGATGACAAATTGTGGTTATTTTTACAGTTTAAAACAATTTAGAGAGATGGTAAAATGGCTTTATAGTGCAATAAGGTATGCTTAGTTGTACTTGTATTTTGCTATTGTGATTTATCACATATCTGTGCTGTTTTCACAATTCAGTTAGAATTGCATTGCACAACCATGCATATATTTTGAAGTGACCTCATTTACGTTATACAAAGTGTAAAGACAAGCTAAATGTAAGGGTTACACTATTAGTAAATCAATCTAAAAATGATTATACTTTTTTAAATTATGTATGTGATTAATAAAATATTGTATTTGTGTAGGTTCATTACTAAATTTATTGAACTTGTAGAATAAAACACATGTAATATTATGCTTGCTAGAGGCTCTAAAAATAAGATTTTATTCAACTTGATCAATAAATTCTGTATTGAACTTAAACTCATTCAATATCCTCAATGTATTGATATGCTGAAAGAAATTCAACTCAGCATACCCTTTTACATTGAAATCTGAAACATAAGTTATAG